GCCAACAAAGAAGAAGAGTGTGCGCTCAAAATGTAAGTAAATTTTGTTTGGTTTTTGTTTAATTGTTATACATTATGAATTTTTTTAAGGGGAAAGCATCGCACGCCACGTCAGGACGCAGTTTTTTTTTAAATTTATGAAGGAGCGTCCGGACATTGCCCGCAATTTCACCAAAGGGGACAAGGTGGTTGTGAGCACAGCTTGGGAGGACTTGGCGCTTCAGCTGAATGCTTTGGGCCCTCCAATTAAAACTTCAGAGGAATTGTAAGTAGATTTAAAAAAGGAAATAGGACATTTTATTGACCATTGCCTTTTACAGGTATGGAAACACTGGAGGCTGGCCATCAAAAGAAAAATTGCTCATAACAGGCGGGAGACCAGAGCCACAGGAGGTGGTCCTTTTAAGCAGGTGGCATTCACTCCCACTGAGCAGGAGATAGCCCTTCTCTGCAATATGTTCCAAGCGGTGGATGGCGTGGCTGGTGCCAGAACATATGGCATCCTGCAGTGCGCTGAAGAGAAGGAGAACGAAGAAGAACCGTCCCCAAAAAGACCACGGATGGATGGTGCAAGCTGCAGCAAAGAAAAAGCGACAACTGACCACAGGCTGGCTGCAATGGTGGCAGATGGAACTCTGGTCTTAAAAGAGATAAAGGAGGAGCTGGTTGAGCTCAAGAAAAACGCGCAGGAGATGTTGCAGAAGCGCAAAAGGACAAACTTAATATTAGATAAATTAGTTTTAGCCATAGAGACGAAATTTAAGTAATTAAATAATAAAATACATACATAATAAAAATACATACTTGATAAAACTAAATACATTTATTTATTAAAAAAAACATCTACATAAAAAATCATTAAAGGCATCTTAAAGAAGCTGCTATGCTATCCCGAATTCGTGAAGTTTGTTCAGGCTGATCAAAATTTGGTAAAGCGGCAACTTCTTCACGTCTTTCATTAGCTTCGACAACACGAAACTCCTGATCATTTTGCTCGCGGCATAAATTATGAAGACCGCAGCACACGTTTATTATGCATGTGACCTTTAGGGGATTATACAAAAGGATCTCTTGGAGTAGTCTGAATCAGCTTTTAATAACTCCAAAAGTCCTCTTAATCACATTTCTTGCAGAAGCATGACGAAGATTAAAACTATGTTGGTTTGACCCTGCCGTTGGATTTCTGTAAAGCGTAAGCAAAAAGGGTTCTAAGGGGTAACCTGAATTTTCAAGAAGCCAATTACCACGGGAACCACTATCATACTCTTCCTGCAAAAATGCCCTGGCCTCGCTCTGACCCCAAGCGCAAGAGTCATGAGTTGCTCCAGGCTTCGAAGCATCCACATAAATGACTTTAAGGTCGTAATCACATATCTATAGGAAGCAATATTTAAAAGTTAATAAAAATGTATAGACCCAACTCCTTAAACCCGCAGGGCAGTCGCCAAGTGCAGAATGGGCGGAATCGAGGAAGATGGGATATCCTCTTTGATTATATTAAGGATCCTTTCGAAGGTTGTCTTTTCAACACGATAATTGTACCGAAAGCTGTTAATTTTAATAAAACAAATTAGCAGTAGTTTGAGCAGAAAATCACAAAACTATATACGTATCGTCTGATTGTGAAAACGGGTCCGATGCGCATCTGAGAAGCCTTCACCGGAGGGTTTCTTTTCTAATCTGCTGCCTACGTACCTCTTCGATGGCCAGAATTCTCGCTATAGGCATTTTCTTAACTTCAACTAAAATCAATTCAGATGTTTGTTTTTTTTTTAACAGCTGATATCTGCCATGCACGGAGAATGGCCAGACAACTGCTAGAGTTGTCAAGTAATTCATTTTGTTTGGCGCGCAAGAAATGTTTATTTGCTTTGTAATTATAAAAGCTTTGAAAAATCAATTATTTTATGTCATAAAAGAAAAAAATAAGAACCAATTGTTTTGATATGATAAAATCAATAAAACTGAAAAATGAACCCTATTCGAATGAATCTTGAAAGGTGTCAACCCTAGCCTTAGTTCGAATTTGGTTTGTGACAATGCTAAAAAAATGAAATCGCTCGGAATTCTGTGGCATGACGGAAATTTTTAAGCGGAAATCCTCTGCGCAGTTCTCAATTTCACTAGTGATTTCTGTGGCACCCCTGTATTTCATGAATTTCTAAAGCCCTTAACGTCTCATCTGCTATTGCCTCTTCACCTTCTGTTGGAAGCTGCCACTTTATCGGCAACTCTGACTCCACATTTACGAATAACGATTCTCCGTTGTTTTTTTTATTTTTTATATAATTTGTTTATTGATACAACAAATAACACAAATAACAATCTACGATAATCAGGGGTGCCACAGAAATCACTAGTGAAATGGGAAAGCGCGCAGAGGATTTCCGCTTAAAAATTTCCGTCATGCCACAGAATTCCGAGCGATTTCGTTTTTCTTAGCATTGTCACAAACCAAATTCGAACTAAGGCTAAGGTTGACACCTTTCAAACTTCAATTCGAATAGGGTTCAATTTGCAGTTTTATTGATTTTGTCATATCAAAACAATTGGTTTTTATTTTTTTCTTATATCATATAAAATAATTGATTTTTCAAAGCTGAACTTTTATAATTTTAAAGCAAAAAAACATTCCATATCGTTCGCGTCAAACAAAACAATGTACTCGGCAACTCTAGCAGTTGTATGGCAACTATCCGAGCATGGCAGCAATCAGCTGTTAAAAAAAACTGACATCTAAATTTTACGGCAAACTTAATTAAAATGCTTTTACTGAGACTGTTGGCCATCGACGAACTACGGGGGCAACATATTAGATTACAAACCTTGCAGCTCAGGCTTCTCAGATGCGCATCGGACTCGTTTTCGCGATCAGACGATACGTATGTGGTTTTTGTGATTGTCTTCTCAAACTACTGCATATTTAGTTCATTACAATTACCAGTTTTTGGTATAATGATCGCTATGCTTCTATTTGTGCTGCCATGGGTCTGCGCTTAGCCGAACAGGGGTTTTTGACATAAATGCAATGGCAATAATGTGTAGAAATGGTTTCTTAGTTCTGTTTTGGCATTTTGAAGCGATGCCACCTGGAAGAACTACAAATGACTACAAATGTTTTCACAATTTGCACAAAAAGTATGCACACGTTTGACGTAAAGGAAGTTTTACTACAATGAGCTATTTTTTGTAATGCTTAATTAAAGAAAAACAGAATGCTTTCAATATAATTAATATTAAATATATTGCTCCGAATTCGACTTAAAAAAGGTGGCATTACTGTATTCACTTCGAAAGTCCGAACCGCCCTAGGTGGCTACCTCGGTCTGCAGCGGATTGAGAGCGGAATCGTTAAGTGAAAATTCAGTCAGCGGATTGAATAGTGATTTAATAAAATGCTTATTTTATTAACTTAACATGTATAATGTTAAATTATTTGGATGAGGGTTAATCACCAATTGAACAACCTTTATGGGAAAGTAAGATTAGAATCGTTTTAGATGTGTTTTATGGGTGTATTTAATCAAATCGCTGGATAAATTGTGAGTGATTTTGATTCCGCTGAAAAATCAGTGTGCGTCACCGCGGAATGGAATTGACGTGATTTTCCAGCAGAAGTGATTTTTGTGGTACCCCTGAATATTATATTCTGTAAATTTTTATACCCGTACTCAAAAAAGAGTTAAGGGGTATATTAGATTTGTGGTAAAAGTGGATGTGTGTAACACAGAGAAGGAAACGTTTCCGACCCCATAAAGTATATATATTCTTGATCAGCATCAATAGCCGAGTCGATAGAGCCATGTCTGTCTGTCCGTCTGTCCGTCTTGTTTGACGCCTGGATCTCAAAGACTATAAGAGCTAGGGCAACCAAATTTGGTTTCCAGACTCATGTGATATCACACTGCTACAGTGTATTTCAAAATTTCGCCCCGCCCCCTTCCGCCCACACAAAGGACGAAAATCTGTGGCAGGCACATTTTTAAAGATACTATAAAACTAAAAACGCAATATCGTAGAAAATTACCATATCTACCAGATTGCCGAATCTGAATCTGAACGGATCATAATTATAGCCAGAGTAAAGAAATTGATTTTTAGTTGTTTCCCCCGCCCCCTCCTGCTAACGAACAAGCTACTCATTCTCTTTCTCGCTCGCACACTCTTCCGCGTTCAGTGCGCGAGCAACCCCTAGCGGAGGAGATGTAGAATATGAATGGAACATGTACAATCTACATGTTAGATGTAGAATAGACATTGTATATGTAGATGTAGATATCAGATGTAGCAAAAAAATGTAATATGTAAAATTTATTTTTTTTTTTTTTTATTTCTAAAAAATCATAAGCTCAAAAATGTATATACTGACTGAGTACGGGTATAAGTAGAGTCGTGTCCCCAGAAACGACTCACACGTTCCTTCTCGTTGTAGCTTCTTTTATAAGAGGTTGGCACAAATTCTAGTCGCTATAGTTTCTATCTAAATCATTAGTGGCAGTGGGTCAGTGACATGTGGGTTTTTAGCGCGGCTATATTTTACGTCGGGTTCAGGTCTTCCTAGATCCTCCTCTTAGGCAGATCCACTGGGTGTCGTCTGGTCAGCCTGCGACGGTAACTGGTTCTCGCCTCGCCAAGACATTGAGGTGACTTACTAGCTTAGCAGCACCTCCCAGCCTGATTGTTGATAAAATCACTAATGGGAGAGACTCTGAGGTCTCCAGACAACGATGGGCTTAGCAATATGGAAAACGTTTCATTGACATCACATACCATGTGACACCCATACTCGTAAATACTTGAATATATGTTAAAATTATCCAAATCAGATCGCTATATTGTGTGGCTTAACTTTAAACAATCAATCTGCAAAATATATAATCCCCTTCCCTTTTTTTCTGGTTTTGAATGTGAAATAAACGGACTTTCAGTAAACGCACTTAAGAAAAATATCTTTGCTACTAGATTTCATATTAAGGAAAATGGACATTTCTTCTTTTTTAGGATATCGAACACTGTTATTACCATGGGACAGTGAAGGACTATCCAGGCGCTAGTGCTGCCTTTCATACTTGCAACGGAGTAAGCGGCGTCATACACATTGGAAACGAGACATTCGTCATTCATCCATTTTATGGTGGCGATCTATCTGTAAGTACGGAACGTAACTCTCCGATAACACTACTCGACAAAACTGAAATTTTTTTTCCGCTTCGAACCAAACCGACTTTTTTTGATAGATTTAGGAGCTTTAACTTTTTTTTAAAGAAATGTGTTTTTTTTTTGTTAGACAGAACTTTTTTTTGGAGAATTTTGGATTTTTTTTAAGTTTTATTATTATGCTTATTACACTACTCGACAAAATCGAACTTTTTTTTTCCTCAAGGATCCAAACCGACTTTTTCTGATAGATATGGGGCTTTAAAATTTTTTAAAGAATTATGGTTTTTTTTCTATGGCAGAACTTTTTTTTGAAGAATTTTTGAAGTCTGGTATTTTTTTTTAAGCTTTTTTCAGAGGTAACGCTTGTTTTTTCACATAACTCTAGTATCTTACGTCTGGTTGTAAAGAACTTTGCTATTTTGAAAAGATAATTAAAACAGCTAGAAGTTGATGCCAAACACTTTGTGATTTCAGCTTACCGTCTGGGAAATATAAAGCATTGAAATGCAAAAATGATGATTTTTGTGGGGTATTTTTTACGAAATTTTGACTTTAAAAACTCAGGAAAAGTCGAAAAAAAATTATATCTTGTGTCCTCTATTTTTTTGTGTATAGGTGCGTTAATTTGGCGTCGTTTAAGGTATCGCTCATTAAAATCTATGGAGAGACTTTGGAGCTAAAATTCGTTAACCAAACCTAAAATATGGAAAATGTGAACAAAAAATACCTTTTTGAATGCGGCGGGCCCAACTGCCAATTGGGCCCAAAGTCTCTCCATAGCTTTTAATGAGCGATACCTTAAACGACGCCAAATTAACGCACCTATACACAAAAAAATAGAGGACACAAGATATAATTTTTTTTCGACTTTTCCTGAGTTTTTAAAGTCAAAATTTCGTAAAAAATACCCCACAAAAATCATCATTTTTGCATTTCAATGCTTTATATTTCCCAGACGGTAAGCTGAAATCACAAAGTGTTTGGCATCAACTTCTAGCTGTTTTAATTATCTTTTCAAAATAGCAAAGTTCTTTACAACCAGACGTAAGATACTAGAGTTATGTGAAAAAAACAAGCGCTACCTCTGAAAAAAGCTTAAAAAAAAATACCAGTTTTCTAAAATTCTTCAAAAAAAAGTTCTGCCATAGAAAAAAAAAAAAATATCATCAAACCATTTCTAAGCCCCAAATCTTTAAGAAAAAGTTCGTTTTGTTCCTTGAGGAAAAATCGTGTTGACTAGTGTTATTAAGCATATTTAAAGCCTCAAATCTATAAAAAAAGTTGTTTTGGTTCGAAACAGCGTAATGGTGTCGGGTAGTGTAATTATTGATTTAAGAATTAAAAATGGGAGCGATTGTTTTCGTATTATGATTAAAACATATACTATAAGTACATAGTTATCCCTATAAAGACTTTTAGACAACTCGAAACGTTTTTTTCCAGGAATAGCATAGCTTTAGTACACATGTTACAACTAGTTTTTTTTTTCTACGGTTGAACTTTTTTTATTTTCAGAGAAAGCGCTTTTTAACAAAACTTAAGTATCTTACATTTCGGCTTACCTTCTTGAATATATTTAGCTTGCAAATGCAAAATAATATTTGTGCGGTATTTTTTATACCCGTACTCAAAAAGAGTTAAGGGGTATATTAGATTTGGGGTAAAAGTGGATGTGTGTAACGCAGAGAAGGAAACGTTTCCGACCCCATAAAGTATATATATTCTTGATCAGCATCAGTAGCCGAGTCGATAGAGCCATGTCTGTCTGTCCGTCTGTCCGTCTTGTTTGACGCCTGGATCTCAGAGACTATAAAAGCTAGAGGAACCAAATTTTGTTTCCAGACTCATGATATATCACACTGCTACAAGTGTATTTCGAAATTTCGCCCCGCCCCCTTCCGCCACCACAAAGGACAAAAATCTGTGGCAGCCACAATATTAAAGATACGATAAAACTAAAAACGCAATATCGTAGAAAATGACCATATCTACCAGATTGCCGTATCTGAATCTGAACGGATCATAATTATAGCCAGAGTAAAGAAATTGATTTTTAGTTGTTTCCCCCGCCCCCTCCTGCTAACGAACAAGCTACTCATTCTCTTTCTCGCTCGCACACTCTTCCGCGTTCAGTGCGCGAGCAACCCCTAGCGGAGGAGATGTAGAATATGAATGGAACATGTACAATCTACATGTTAGATGTAGAATAGACATTGTATATGTAGATGTAGATATCAGATGTAGCAAAAAAATGTAAAATCTTAACTTTTTTTAAATTCTAAAATTCGAAAAAATTAAATCAAAATGAAATATATCTATATACTGACGGAGAACGGGTATAAGTAGAGTCGCGTCCCCAGAAACGACTCGCACGTTCCTTCTCGTTTTTATTAATTTTGACTTCAAAAACTCAGGAAAACTCGAAAATATATTATGTCCCTATGTTTTTTAGTGCATTAGGCGTCGTGTAAGGAATTGCTCATTAAAATCTATGGATGAACGGTTGACCTAAAATGGGTTGACCAACCCTCCGAAAATCACATTTTAACGTTTGGAACGTTGCTGGACACCAAGGGTACATTTACTAAAAAAATCGTACTATTGGCATACTTTGAACATTTTTATTTATCAATAGCTTGTTTTGTGAAGAATGGATGCCGCTAAAGAGTTGATGTCTAAAAGAAAATTTTTTTTTTAAATGAAAAAGTTGCCTAAAAGACAATATAAGTATAAGATGCGTAACGCTCATACATTTCAATTGCCATATGCAAGCCAATTTTTCGGCAAGCGACGAAATTCGCGCCATCTCGCTCGCAAAAAGTTGAGAGCGTACGAATCTAAAAATAGAATCCGCTTGCATGGGTGAGTACACACAGAACCAACAAATGCGTACTTGTGCGAAGCGAGACGAAAACCTTTTAAAGAGTTGAGAAACGAATTTAAGTCTTTGAATACATTGCACGCTGAATACCCTACTGACAATTATTCCAATGTAAAGTCATGTATTAAATATGTGATATATTTTTTTATTTTACATATGTATATCCGATCAATATTATCGAATATACCATCTTAAAAGAAATTATCATTAGAGGGATATATGCAATATAAGAGTTTTTTAATATTGGGTGTTAAGCGTCTTGCAAAATTAACTTACACTTATAAAGTGAAGGGTATATTTCGACAGCGCTGTAAAAAAACGTATGCATGTGCACACATACAGTCGTCGCGACGACTCGGCTCGTTGCAGCGGCATAGAACCAACTTCGTGTGCCTTCGTATGCTGTATACAAGAGAGCGGCTGGCTCTAGACCGCTCTCTCTCTCTACAAAATTTCAAGAGAGCCTGGAGCCATCTCTAAAGCCAGCTTGCAAAATTCGTGTGCAAAAATTTCGTATGGCGTTATCTATCTTATTCTTATATTGTCTTTGCACAAACCGTATAAACGTTAGAAAACTTCAACTTTGATTTGCTATATCTTCAGGTATATCCATTCTATCACCACGAATACAAAATCCTGTAAAAGGTGGTGCAATTTTCTTGTTAGCGTTTTTTTGTCTGGACGTTGATATGCAATGACTCCACCATCAAGTGGCCCATGCGACACCAAGCCGAAGTCTGTTACGCGCGGAACCCACGCAGAAACGCAGCAGCTCCTCGCACCCAACCGATCGAGGGGTGGTGCCGCATGACGCGCGACGCGTGCTACCGAAACCGATTGCGAGCATGCAGGAAACATATATTGTTTGGTTACGCAGCCAAATAGTGGACAAACACATAGATTATAGCCAGTGGTGCAGCATTAGAGTAAATCCTTATTATTGTTCGTTGTTTGCACTGCCCACTGTACTAAATTGACATCTAACTACAAACTTATGCACGCATTTATGCTCCCGCACGGCAGCATGCCTGTGCAGCCGTTCTCTCGCGTCTTCATATTTCTTTCTATCGCCTTTCGCTATCACTCTCTCGATCTGTCGCTCTCTCGCTCACATTAGGGCACGGGCGATTCGGCCCGCCTGCCCTTTGATTCAGTCCGGATCTAGCAACCACTGCACATCGTCTTGGAATCGAGCTATTCAATCCGACACCGTCTTGTACCGACCCCAGCGTCTACAATCTGACCCCGTCTCGAATCAAGCTAACTTTCCAACCGACTCGTCAACAACCTAACTCGAACCTTTCGCTATCCCTTCGAGTCTGTATCGCTTCATATACTGTTTACAACTATAAACCATATTTAATCTGCTAAATGTTTTTCTGGACTGATTATATACGGTCCTGGTGTACTTTGTACTGGGGGCACCATACACAAGAGCCGTGCTCTAAAATCGGACGAACAAGCGAGATATAGAGAGTATTCGCTATATAGGGGACGTCAAATTCCTTTGACCACCTCTTTATAAACCCAAGCACGCCCATGGCCTTATTTACCATGGTAGAAATGTGTTCAGAAAACTTTAACTTGGGGCCCAACTTAACACCAAGATCATCAACCAAGGTAATTCTCTCAAGAGAACCACCGCAGAAGGTGTAATAAGCCAACAAGGGGCTGGAGCGATGACATGTCATTACATTAAATTTCGAGACATTTAGTTGTAACATATTTGCACAACACCATGACTGAAAATTATTGAGATCGGGTTACAAGCGAGAGTGAAATGAAATGTTCTTATACTGGACACAGAGTTAAACATCATCTTCATACATGAGTGCTCGAGAATTTGACCTCATTAATAAAGAGTGTGAAAGGGAAGCATGAAGACTTATTGGATAGGGTGAATAGTTTAAGCAGGGGTCCACACAGAGCGTCGGCACAGTACCTGAGGACACCGTCGGGAACTCCGTCAGGACCTGGTGAAAATACCGGCTTAACTAGTCGAAGATCATGAAGCAGTAAGCTTTCATTTAACAAGGGGCTGAAAATGCCGTTTGACCTTGGTAAACTGTATGGATACGGCAGACCAGAGTAGCTTTCATGAGAATAG